GATAGGACAGAGAGGAACATGGCGAGGATGTGTGGCTATTCAACCACAACAAGAACTTGTGCTGCACACGATCAACCCGCTCTGTGTGGGATTTGCAAGGCTCTATAGGGGATTTGGCCGCTCTCGCCCAGACCACGCAACCGTATTCCAAAATTGAACGAACATTGGCATAGTAAGTGACGAGTAACGTATGTTTGTTAAATTTCGATCTCTTAGTCCCGGCCTGAAAGGTTCTGATCATCAGGCCTAGGGCCCTGTTTGCCTGGCATACAATCCGGGACACGTGCGCCGAAAATGACAGCTTGCTGTCAATTGTGACGCCAAGATCTTTGATCTCGTCTACGCTCTCCAGAACAGCGCTGCCAATACGGTAGGTGGTCCGAACGGGAGCGCGCCGCAGAGTCACACTGAATGCTTAACATTTGGCTGGGTTTAGAGACAGACCCGACCAGGAGCTCAGCCGGTCAATGTCCGTCTGCAGAGTAGCAGCATCCTGGCGCGTCGTGATTTTCCTGAAGATTTTGGCATCGTATGCGTAGAGTAAACATTCTGAGTCTAGATCGGAAGGGAGGTCATTGATAAAAATAGAAAATAGGATCGGAGCAATCAATGACCCCTCTGGATTTCCCGAAATGACACTAGTCCATTCCGACGTTTTGCCGTTCAGTGTGACTCTTTGGCGCCTATCGGAGAGGTACGAAACAAACCACATGAGAGCTGAGCCGTGGACGTGGAACGAATTTTTTAGTTTGTGGATCAAGTAACCTGGCAACAGCTCCTTATTTAGAATAGGTATACCGTAAAGTGGGGCTATTTGAAACGGATTTTAGAGTTTTTGGCCTCTCCCTTTAAGACGGTTCATATTTTTTATAGCATGTAAATTGCAAAAATGTAGTTCTCTGTGAGCTCTTTCATATAGGTGCATTTTGGTTCAGCTATTAATAATGATTAAGGTTATTTTTTATGTTAAAGCCTGTCTCAAATAGCCCCATAGGGTGGGGCTATTTGAGACAGTTTTAGTTGCAAAGAAATTAAAGAAAATCGGTCACGCTAGAGATAATTTTTTAAACGCCATGCATTTGGAAATTGAATTTTGATCATTTTGGCAAAAATTGTTTTTCAAAGACTGTTATATGACCTTTATATTCAATCTTTTCCTTTCGTAGGACACTTCATTTCGGTAGGGTAAAAATTGCATCACTATATGCTAAGGCTCTCATAATATTATGTGACCCAAAGCTTTCAAACTGACAGGATGATCATCAAGGACTATCTTAAAGTCATCGACAGTAAAATTTTGAAAGTAAGTTTTTGTGTATAGCCCCGGTGACGTGAAAACAGATATACCGAAAGTCGGTGGGGCTATTTGAGACAGTCTCGCTACCTTATGCAGCACACTGTAATGAATCAAACAAGACAGAAGGTTTCCCAAAACATTTGAGTGAATGGTCTGCATGATTGCTTGTTCCATTGTACATCTCCATGCGAAGAAATAACAGAAAAATGTTAAACGGTTTTGATTTTATGCCAATTTTCCTCGATCGCTGCATGCTGTATCAATTGGCCGGTTACCCTACCACATCAAGTACTTGGATAGGCTCACCTAACAGTACGTTCATGTGTTAAAGGGAGAATATGACCTTTATCCACAAAATCTAAGTTAGGACCATTTTCTGATAAAACACAAGTTATAATGTAAATTAAAACCATTTTCCTCAAATCAGTACCAGGCCGCAAATATCTCACCTTGAAGTCACGTAAGCGGGGAGCGCTGAAAATGACCGTTGAGCAAGTACTTACATCACTTTTTGGTACTTGCATGACATTTTAGAAAATGAGCGTATTCCTCACATTTGATGTTCATCACGTCTAGTTACTAACCAGCTGTTTGAAGTGCCTTCAAAAGATATTCATGGTTTGGAGGTGGTTTATGTCCAAATTTGCGCAATTATTTTTTGCTTTTCATCATCTGACGCCATAGGCGGCTATTTTAGTAGCAACGACTCAATTTTGAATCGGTTCCACCGACTGCACAATAAAAGAAGATAGATACTACACTTTTGAAGCATCACTGAAATACTAATGCAGTATTGTCATCAAAATTCACATGACACTGTTTGTTAAACCTGAAGTGTTTTGGAAATAAATATGCTTACATGTTTCGCTTCAGGCTCTGACGCCAAAATAATGAATTTCGTACTCGCAATCGCGAGTTTTACCTCGTTTCTGGCGCATGCTGTACATGTGTGGCGCAGAAAAACGTAAATAAACATATTGCAATTTATTGGAATAACGCGTCGTTGTTTGAAACAAAAGTGCCATACACTGCGACTTTTTGAAAGAGAAGGACAAGGCATTTCAGTGGGTATTGCAAGTACTGCAAGTATTGTTTTTTTTTTTTGTAAAAATAAACAGATTTCACATACGAAAATGTGCCAGGTAAATTTCATATTTTCTAAAAACTGCAGTAAAAATAACACAAAGGTCGAATAATTTTTATTCAAGAAAACAGAAAGCTCATTATCTCCCTTTAAGTAACATTCAATGGTGTTTTTTTGGTGAACCAAGGTAGACATATGTTGATTGTCGACTGAGTCAGTGACTGATGAAGCACATTTTAAGCACATATTCATCAGAATAACTAGTTTGGTCACCAGCTAAAGGGTTATTATGTTACACTACGAACATGTAAATAGTGCTTGCTGCTAAAAGTACCTACCATGAACCCACTGCACGTTTATGACCACGACCGATTCACCGGTGTTGCTTATGTCGAACGTTCGATGCACTTCAGGTAGATGGCGGTAAGTCTTCTCGGGTGCATCGCATGACCGTTATCATCAGCTATTTGGCATATCCGTTGAGGTTTGACCAGGTGGGCATCATCGGGATTCTGAGACAATGGGTTACGCAATCGGCAGTACCGTTAACAATATATAATATTTTCATGAAAAGTGTGCTTAGCCTGTTAGTAAAAAGGTAGTAACGACAGATACAGAGGCGAAGTTGTAAAAACTTCAACTTTTTTAAGCTGCAGGTAGGGGTCCTTTTCGAGCAGCTTAAATTGTGCGTTTTTCTGTATTTCGTATTTTATTGCAAATTTCTTTCAGAACTTTTCGAAATTTTCAAAAAGGTTATTCAGAGCATTCACTGTTCAATTCCACATTAGCCTAAGCAAAAATGACGAAAAACATCAAACTGTTTTCATTTTACAGCGATTTTACTATGCCATAACCTTACTGTCTCAAATAGCCCCACTGTCTCAAATAGCCCCACTTTACGGTATTGAAAAAGCCACATTGAATCAGGGATGCGACAACGGCGGGGTAGGTGCCGGGGGGGGGGGGACTATGGGTCTGTTCCAGTCGCACTCTTAAACTAAACTCCTCTAAACTCCTCCAAGAGCAAGATAGAGGAGGTTGGAGCAGGGCCCTCCTTGGCCTTGTACGGCTAGAGCTGCCACTGGGACAGGGAAGCAATCTTGGCCGGGAGTTTAGAGGTGTTAGGAAGTGCGACTGGAACAGACCCCATGTAAGCTAGAGCACGCCTTACCTTCGCACCTCCCCCCCCCCCCACTCCCACTCCCACTCAACTTGGCGCTGGCTCAATCATATCAATTAAGACAGAGTAGGTATATTTTATGAAAAATCCAGGATAAATAGCATGGCTTTTCATGGGCATACACAAAATAACATAAAATAAACGTACGAAAATATAAACGACCGGTTCCGATGCAGCTGGGCTCCTCCAACGCAACTCGCTATCGAGGCGTAAATATGCGAATCTGGGCTGAATGTGGACAAACCTCCACTACATGGTTCATAACGTGGCGTGGGTCAAATATTGCACACTCAAACTGCGCCTAGCCGCTCTGTAGCTCGTGATAGGAAGTGGCCTGACAATGATTCAGTCTACCGCCTCGTTCAGATTGGCTATCTGGCTTCACTAATCCGAACAAAGTGTGGATGTTGGTGTACTCTGTCCTGTGTCACGTGATCTCGACTATCGTCTGGGGGGGGGGGGGGGGCGCTGCAGGCACGGTGCACTGGCAGTCACGGGGCCGACGATACTGCTGACCTCTGACCCCGGTCATGACCCGAGGAGGGGAGCTGTTCGGCTGGTGACTCGCACTGAAAACAATTTAACCCAAGGCCCGCGAGTAAACCGGTGTTTTGCAGGTACCCCTATCCGCAACCATTTTTAACCACCCTCCCAGGAGTACAGTAAGGTCCCATTGCAGTGTAGTCGTCCCTGCTCCCAGCGGACTTGTTCGCTGACAGCGGTTGTATCCGCTCAGAGCAAGTACGACTACACCGCAATGGGACCTAGCACTACTCCTGGGAGGGTGGTTAAAAATGGTTGCGGATAGGGGTACCCGTAAAACACCGGTTTACTCGCCAGCCTTGGGTTAAATTGTTTTCAGTGCGGGAAAGGTCCAAACAGCGCCAAACTCAAATCATGCAGACCTCAGAGTTGCTGCCACCAAGTTGAAAACAGGTAAGTTCTTCATCTGTGGCTTCATCAGTTATTGTGACAAACTATCCAAAAGCAAGAACACCTACAGTAGATTCTGTAGAAATCAGCTTGTCCCCCCCCCCCCCCCCACCCCACCACTGCACCCCTCTTGCATCGCCGGACGCCGGGCATGACCGTTCTGCACGTCCCCGCGTCGTGCATTGATAAGATATCGCGGTGGCACCACTGACCCTATCAACCAAAGGTGCAAAATTACAACAGGTCACAAATTACATCACATCTTTGGTTACATCTTTGGTAGGCATTTACTAACACAAAATATGAGCGCACATGACTATACACAGACAACCTAGGGTCGACCCACTGAATGGAAGTGATGTTTTTAGTGAGTTGTGATGTATCATTAGTTATAGGATCCATATCAGCTGCCATATCAGTACTCACCTTTCACCTCTAGTCCCGTGACCGATAGCAGTTTTTCAGTTCTGATAGTGTGTGAACTGTGAAGTAAGTCTGTCAGTGAGGGAGCTCAGCGCCGACCGGTAGGACGTGTGTGTGTGTTGGAGCACCTGAGTATTGTACACAGAAGAAGTGGTGGTAAAAAAAACTGATGCTTAATTCAAGGGAAAGTGGTGAAAATTGGCGCTGAAGAAAAGAACTAGTGATGAAATTTGTACCTGAGGACAAAGAATAGTAGTGATATTAAGCCTAAATAGATGGCAATGAAAATAAGCGCCTAAAAGGAGAAACGTGGTGACAACTATCGCACAAGACGGTGAAAGGTTATGGCATTGTCCACCAAGAAGAGCAGAAGTGAATGTAACTGACCACCGAGGACAGTAAACTGTGATGCAAATTAGAGTCGCTGACAGTTAATAGTGATGCAAATCAGCCTCGGTGGACACCAAACCAGGTCACAATGAATGTCCCTTCATGACCCGTGAGCGTTCCATCGGTGGAGTAGATCGGACTGAAATTTCCACCTCTAGCGGCCACATTTCGATGACGTAATCCGTGACCGAGCTGCCCGACCTCCACCGCCTGCGGGTGTGACCTGACCGCGACGGAGCACAGCGATGTCTGACCCAGGGCGGACGGCCAGTGGTGGCAGCGGTGAAGGGACGGCTACACCGCAGCACCCAGACGGAGCTCGGTTGATGGCAGCATGCGGCGAGCACATCGATCTGGTCGCGGATGCCTGGTTTGATGCTTTGTATGGCAAGGGAAAGGGTGACCAATTCATTAATGGCAGCATTATTGTGAGGAGGGCCAATGTCGATGTCCTGTGGTCTCGTCCTTTCCATCGTGCAATACAATCCCGATACGTGAACTGCCAATGTTCACCGTTTAACTCCATTATACTAAAAAACCAAGTAGTCTCCGGTAGCACAGCAGAGGCTCTGGACGACCCAGCCCGACCAACAACATTCCAATGCAGCTCGGACACGGACGTCATGATTGAGCTGGGTCCGGTGGACTGCGCGCCTCCCGATGATTCAAAAAGCAGTTCAGCGGATAATACCACTACAGGAGCGGCACCAACTGCCGATCTCATGGGTCTGGACGGCGACCCGCCTCCCCGCCTGGTGATCACCGAGACAGAGAACCCCGGCTACGTGCTGCTGCTGCAGGAGCGCAGAGACGACTGCCCTCACCAAGAGAGGCTCTTCTTTAAGGCCGAGGATGTGATAGAACTATTCAAGGACTTCCAAAAAATAGGACTGAGACCAGAAAATATGGCAAAAGGCGTCAGCGGACCTGCTATCTCTTATTCGGATAATGCAGCAACTATGTTCGAAGCTGTGGACTATGATCATGTCCCCTGTCTGCACGTTGCAGTGTGGTTTGTCCCTGACGAGTTTTTCACCCGTCACCGCCAACACAACTGGCCACCAGAAGCCGTCAGGGACAACATCAGACAGTTCGGCCTACACCTGGTGCCGGTGGGTGCCCCAGGGAGTAGCACGGAAAGGTTTGAGTTTAGGATATCCTTTTCAAGGGCGGAGATATTACTCGCCTTCTTATTAACTGATCGACAACGACATGCTGTCATTGCCTTCAAGCTGTGCAGAGCTCTTGTATCAAACGGCAAGATGGTGAAGTCCTACTATGTCAAGACAGCGCTCTTGTGGCTGTGTGAGCGAACACCAAAGGATGACTGGACAACCGTCTCTCAGAGTGTCATCAAACTGCTGGACTTTCTGGACGATGCTGTCGACACGGGAAACCTTCCGTGCTACTTCTGGAGTCAGGTGAACCTGCTCCGGTTTACCAGTCAAAGAGACCGGGAGGTCATGAAGAAGGCTCTGCAAGACATCAGACAAAATCTGAACACCCTTCTGGCAAGTGAGTTGTGTGTGTATGCGCCTGCAATGAAGGAGATGCTGACACAGACGACCACGCAGCTCACTGAGCACCAGGTACGTGTTCGTTTGGCTCGGTATTGCATCATGATTGGCTTAGTGAAGGCCCTGTCAGGCTATCTAACCATCAGTGCAACACCTGCTGTATCAAACTTGCTACCTGTGCTGGTACGTTCACAGCAGCTTACGGCTTCACATGTAGCCAACATGTTTCAAACCAGTGTTCGCCACGGGCCGGGCCAGCCCAACGGGCCATGGGCCGGGCTGGGCTACGGGCTGGGCCGGGCCCCCAAATATCATTAGTTAACGGGCTATGGACGGGCCGGGCCAAGAGCTTTGTGCACTATGGGTTTTGCGACTAATGTCAATTTAAGAAAATTTGGAAACTGATGCAAACAAAACCCACTGGGAAAATACAAAAACTAAACCAAATTTAAGGAATGTGAAAGAAAACCTACTTGTTATTGAATTTTGGGAATCTTGAGAATTATCCAATATCACATCATGTCACACATAGGAGGATTTTCATAAAAATTCCGCAACCAAAAAGATCAGAGAATCTCTAGCATCATTAGTTTGTAATAAAAGTTAAAATGTAGTCATCAGAATAACTTACTTAGCACTACAACTCCAAAAACTAAGAAGCCACTCAACAATGATGGGCCACAGGGCTACATTAAGTTTAACACTTATATATGGCGATAGTGAGACAATTCCAACACAGTCTTTTTTCCTTCACCGACGGCTTTTTAACGAACAGAACCTTAAAAGGATACTCACAAAACACACTGTAAGTAACGACGAACTCTACAGAGTATTTCGCGACGAAAGCTTCTTTAAATGTCCATAAATTTGTCAAAATAAGTCACAACAAACCAGCCCCTTCTCAACAAGATTTGCAATCATGGCGGCGGCCATGCGGCGGCCCTATGTTTATGTGGCGGCATCTAGGTAATATACACAACAGTTTATCAAATAAATACGTTTTTAAAGTAAGTATCAAGGTGAAAAACAAAATTAAACAAATAAGAAATGAAACCTTAATCACGAAGTCTGAAAACTCGAACGAAAAACAAAACAAAAACTTGATCATATATGTTTTATTATACAATTGGTCAAAATCGCTACCTGCCGCAGCTGCGACAATAAAGAAGTGTTCGCTCATTTTTGATCGATGATGATGATGCGTTAAAGTCGCAAAAGTACCCAATGACATTTCAAGTTTACCATGTTTTCTGCTTACGCTGCTAGCGATATCAATATCTTGAAAAGAGCCTAACATAAAATAGCAAGGAAAGTAGCAGATAGTTGTCCACAGAGATTTGGTTGACACGTGGGCATGAATTGAAAATAGATAAGATCAGTTTTGCTGATAAATGGATTGATTTTCTCTTTTTTTGGAAGACAGTGCTAAAGTTAGTGTCACCTATTTTGTATGCTTTCTCAGGCTTTTGATATTGCAGCATCTATGGAGTGAATTTAACAGCAAGGTCAATCCCAGACAGATTCATCAATTCCCATAAGTCAAGCTTTTTTCTGCTGGTAAGTGCTGGGAAGTATAGAGTATGTGGCAAATACTTCCTTCAAGTATGCATTAGAGTCACCAATTATGAATGATAATGTTCACACACATCAGCTTGCAAGATAACTTTACTCATAGAATGTAGTTAATATAATCATGTAAACTTTTTATAGGTGTGTAATCATGACCTAATTGACTGAGGTGCTTGCTGTTGCTGTTAAAATTTGTGCCATAGGTGCTTGAAATGATTATATTCATTGAAAAGAAAGGAGTCATGATTGCCATGTTAATATTCATGCAATTTGAATTGTTCTCAAAATAGTGTAATCAATCATGCTTATTATAGCAATAGACTAAGACAATAACTAGATTGCTATTTTTGCCGGGCCGGGCCGGGCTGGGCTTGGAATATTTGCCAAGAGCGGGCTACGGGCTGGGCCGGGCTCTGAACCCATGGGCCCGGGCCGGGCTGGGCTGGGGATTTTGGGGCCCGTGGCGAACACTGTTTCAAACATTCAGTCACCGGTACAGGCTGCAGACTGGACTGTACAAAACGCTGACTGTGGCACCAGCGGACGTGACCTCGCAGGCCCACCTCACCTCAATGGGTCATGGCTTCGTTTGGGACGCGGCTCCTCTGTTGGGTCTCCTCACTGAAGATGACCTGCGGGAGCTACTGGGGGATCCTGACGCGGTGCGAGCCTGGCTGTGGTGTCAGCACCAGCTGCCAGAAACAGAGCGGCCGGCCGGTCTGCCCGCTGACCTGAGGTCACCGCGAGACCTCTGTGACCTGCTGCTCAACATCCCACTGCTGAGCCGGGCTCTCAGGAAGAGTGTACCGGATAAGTGGAACACGTACAGAAAGATCAGTGAATGGAGTACGAGGTCGCTAAGAGACCCATATGTGGAAGAGTGCGAATTTTACATGAAAGAGTCTCTGGATACTGCTTCAAGGTGGAAGGATCTGGCATTATTGTTCCAAACCAGGCTCGGCATGGACGACCAGACGGCTCTGCGGACGGCCTGTCGTGCCGGTGTGGAGCTGCGGCGGCTCTGTGACGACCCGGAGACGCCCAGGGAGCATGAGAGGTGCAGACGCCGCATGCCGGACCCCTGGGGCGTGCTGCCCTTTCTGCTTCGTAGGCTATGACTCTGAGGTGTGGACGGGAGAGGTGGTGCTATGTCACTCTGAGGTGTGGACGGGAGAGGTGGTGTTATGTCACTCTGAGGTGTGGACGGGAGAGGTGGTGTTATGCCACTCTGAGGAGTGGACGGGAGAGGTGGTGTTATGCCACTCTGAGGTGTGGACGGGAGAGGTGGTGTTATGCCACTCTGAGGTGTGGACGGGAGAGGTGGTGTTATGTCACTCTGATGTGTGGACGGGAGAGGTGGTGTTATGTCACTCTGAGGTGTGGACGGGAGAGGTGGTGCTATGTCACTCTGAGGTGTGGACGGGAGAGGTGATGTTATGTCACTCTGAGGTGTGGACGGGAGAGGTGGTGCTATGTCACTCTGAGGTGTGGACGGGAGAGGTGATGTTATGTCACTCTGAGGTGTGGACGAGAGAGGTGGCGTTATGTCACTCTGAGATGTGGACGGGAGAGGTGGTGTTATGTCACTCTGAGGTGTGGACGGGAGAGGTGATGTTATGTCACTCTGAGGTGTGGACGAGAGAGGTGGCGTTATGTCACTCTGAGATGTGGACGGGAGAGGTGGTGTTATGTCACTATGTGTGGACAGGAGATGTGGTGTTATGTCACTCCGAGATGTGGACAGCTACGGCGATGAGATACTTTGTATATAGACCATCAGAGAATGAATATTCCATATAGATAGTTACGATTACATGCAAGATGACAAACTTGTTTCTCAGTAGTTCGGAACGTGAGTCCCTTTGCGACCCACAGTATTGCTAAACATTGCCTTCGTATAATTGTTGACGTCTTCTTCCATACAAATGTGAAGAATATGATACGTGCTTATTCGTCGATTAAAAATGTTCGTTGGAGAAGTCGTGCTTGTGTCCACAATTAATTACGACTTTGTATTCCATGTTATCAACTTTGGGTTCGTGACCATTGCATTCGCTTTGTATCTGATGACTGATACACACATGTTTTATATCACGTTCGTTCAGTGTAATATCCATGTGTAAACACATTCTGTAGTAGTTGTATTGTTACTAAATTGCAATCTTCTCAGCGTATTGTGAATACACAGTGATTAGAACATGTGGCTGGGCCTCTTTTGGTTGACTATCGACGTTATACTTCAGGATCATACGCCACATCTATACGAATGGTCACTTCAGGTATGCATATTGGATCAGCTACCTTTACGGGATTCCGGTACAAGACAGCTTTTTATGAGGTTTTGATGGCCGTTTCAAAAATATTTCACTTTAGGCAACTTATCACAAACGCAAAAAGCGCCAAACACATTTAGATTTACGTGTTACTGATAGGGGTGGTATTCGCTATGATGAGAGCTAACTTCACAAGGAGGCATAAAGTAAGGCACGTTTCCTCCAAGTTATACCATCGACGCCTAATGACGTCATTTTGATCCAGTATACCTCCACCGGGAATCAGGAGGCGTGGATCCCAATGTCAAAACCGTGGTCAGGTGCATAGGGTTGCCGCATTTGAGAGTTTTTTGTCGCCCCTTGCTCTTTTGTTATTACTCCCTTCAGTCCTGGACTGGTGTCACTAACATTTTATAATTGCCAGCTGATGCCTGTCATAGGAGGGGCCCCTCAGAGACGATAGCCGAGAGCCGACGGTCGAAGCTGATCCGCCGATTGCAGGGAGCCGCATTCCCCGCCGCTCTTCAGAGCGGCGACGCGCCGGGACCTCTTCAGTGCTGTTGACACTGCCGATGGCACAGCCGAGGTGGGCTCGATATAGTTGCATCGATAGTTGCATCAAGTATATGTTGCATGACGCAAATGGATCTGCAACGGAAAATTTCCACTGCAATAAGTGGATCGATACTGATACAGCTCAAGCAGGGATGCGGAGTCGGAGCCGGAGCCGCCGGAGCCGGCATATTTTGCCCGGAGCCGGAGCCGGAGCCGGAGCCGTGAAACAATATAGCCCGGAGCCGGAGCCGGAGCCGGAGCCGCCAAAAAAGGGGGCGACTCCGGCTCCTTTTTATTTTTTGAAGAGGAAAAAAAAATAATTGATCTAGTTCGGTTTGACAGTACAAGGCAGTAAAACATATGGTACTTACGTCATGGGCCATCAAGTGAATGAAAAAATCCGAATATTCCCAGTATCCCACAGTACGCAAACAACTTCCTGTTTGCTCTCCCCCCCCCCCCCCCCCACGTCTACTGCATCCCCAGAACATGAGGACCAGTCATCAGGTGACGGCCATTGTTTTCAAACCAGTGCAGTGGACTGCGACTCCCAGCACCGTCTCATCCCACACACCCCCCACCCCTCACCCCCCAATGCAGCCGAGACGGGTGTCAGCTTACGATGGTTCACTGAACTCCGATTCGCGGCGACTGCGTTTCCAATGCCATCGCTTCCTAGCCCTTTGTTCTGCCAGTTCTCTCCGAGGTGCGTTTGCGCGGGGACGCGGTGAGCCGGTCATGGCAAAGAGTAACGCGTATAACCATTAACCAATCCAATTTTTCTTCCACCCGTATTTAATTGATTGCGTAGGGGATGTACTGAGTCGGAGCCGGAGCCGCCGGAGCCGGAGCCGCCGGAGCCGGACCATTTTACTCGGAGCCGGAGCCGGAGCCGGAGCCGCCATAACATTTCACCCGGAGCCGGAGCCGGAGCCGGAGCCGATTTTTTTTCTCCGGAGCCGGAGCCGGAGCCGGAGCCGTCTGAAATTTCCACGGCTCCGCATCCCTGCGCTCCTCGTGATGGCCAGGCTGCCTTTGCTAATCATCCGAACAAGGTATGACTGCTTGTGTACTCTGTCCTGTGCTACGTGAAATCGACTGGCGTCTGGGGGGGGGGGGGGTCCGACGGGGGGCTTCGGGCACGGTGCACTGGCGGTCACGGGGCCGACGATACTGGTGACCTCTGACCCCGGTCATGACCTCTGACCCCCGTCATGACCCGAGGAGGGGAGCTGTTCGGCTGGTGACTCGAGAAAGGTCCAAACAGCGCCAAACTCAAATCATGCAGGCTTCAGAGTTATTGCTACCAAGTTGAAAACAGGTAAGTTCTTCATCTGTGGCTTCATCAGTCATTGTAACAAACTATCCAAAAGCAAGAACACCTACAGTAGATTCTGTAGAAATCAGCTTGTCCCCCCCCCCCCACCCCACCACTGCATCCCTCTTGCATCGCCGGACGCCGGGCAAGACAGTCCTGCACGCCACCGAGTCGTGTATTGATAAGATATCTCGGTGGTACCACTGGCCCTATCAACTAGAGGTACGAAATTACAACAGGTACAGCTCTTTGGCCGGCATTTACCAACACGAAATATGAACACGAATGATTATACAATATACACAGACAGGAAAGGACCAACCATTGAATGGAAGTGATATTTTTAGTTAGTTGTGATGCATCTCTAGTTAGGATTTCTATAAACCGCCGTATCTGTACTCATCTTTCACCTCTAGTCTCGTGACCGATAGCAGTTTTTCAGTTCTGATAGTGTATGAAGTGAGTCTGTCAGTGAGGGAGCTCAGCGACGACCGCTAGGACGTGTGTGTTGGAACATCTGAGGATCGTACACAGAACGAATAGTGGTGAAAACTGGAGCCGAGGATAACGAGCAGTGATGAAATTTTTTGCTGAGAACATGCGATAAAAGTGAAAACTAGCGCTGAGGAAAACAGAGACTAATGAAATTTGCAACTGCGGACAAACAAATGGTGATGATAGTCAACATGCTCGCAATCAGATAGTAATGAAAAAAGTGCATAAAGAAAGAATGTGGTAAAAATTGTCGCACGACGCCGTTGAAAAAAAATGGCATTGTCCACCAAGAACAACAGAAAATGATTGGACCAATCGCCGAGGACAGTGAAAAGTGATGCAAATTAGAGTGGCGGACAGCTATTAGTGATGCAACTCAGAGCGATGGACATCAGACCAGGCCACAATGAACGTCCCTTCATGACCCGTGAGCGTTCCGCTGGTGGAGTAAATCGGGCTGATGTCTCCACCTCCAGCAGTCATATTTCGGTGACGTAAGCCGTGACCGAGCTGCCCGACCTCCACCGCCTGCGGGTGTGACCTGACCGCGACGGAGCACAGCGATGTCTGACCCAGGGAGGACGGCCAGTGGTGGCAGCGGTGAGGGAACGGCTACGCCGCAGCACCCAGACGTAGCTCGGGTGATGGCGGCCTGCGGCGAGCACTTCGATCTGGTGGTGGACAAGTGGTTTGACTCCTATAATGCCAGGGATGATCAGCTACTACACGTGCTGATGGCCAGCAGACAAGCCAATGCCAAAGCATTGTTTGGTCTTCCATTGCAGCGTGAACTACTGATCACTCATGCAAACTGTCTGTGCTCACTGCTCAACAGTGTTAAGGTAACTAATAGATTTGTGTCTGGTAGCTACGCAGAGGGGCTGAGCGGCTTACTTGAGCCGGAGACATGCCTGTCCACATCTGACGTGGACGTCATGCATGAGCTGGGTCCCGTGGACTGGGTGTTGCCCGATGCTCCCACCAGCAGCTCTTTTGACGACATTGCCTGTTATGAAGCGACAAGAGCTGCCGATCTAGGGGGTCCGGACAGCGACCCGCCTCCTCGCCTGGTGATCAACGAGACGGAGAACCCCGGCTTCGTGCTGCTGCTGCAGGAGCGCAGAGACAACTGCCCTCACCAAGAGAGGCTCTTCTTTAAGGCCGAGGATGTGATAGAACTATTCAAGGACTTCCAAAAAATAGGACTGAGACCAGAAATTATGGTAAAAGGCGTCAGCGGACCTGCTATCTCCTATTCGCATAATGCAGCAACTATGCATGAAGCAGTGGACTATGACGATGTTCCCTGTCTGCACGTCACAGTGTGGTTCATCTCTGACGAGTTTTTCACTCGTCACCGCCAGCACAACTGGCCACCAGAAGCCGTCAGGGACAATATCAGACAGTTTGGCCTACACCTGGTGCCGGTGGGTGCCAAAGGGAGCAGCACTGAAAGGTTTGAGTTCAGGATATCCTTCTCGAGAGCCGAGCTCATACTGGCCTCCTTACTATCTGATCGGCAAAGGCATGCCGTCATCGCCTTCAAAGTCTGCAGGGCAGCGGTAGAAAACGGTAAGACGATAAAATCATATTATGTCAAGACAGCGCTCTTGTGGCTGTGCGAGCAAACACCAAATGATGACTGGACAACCGTCTCTCAGAGTGTCATCAAACTGCTGGACTTTCTGAAAGAGGCTGTCGACACGAGAAACCTTCCGTGCTACTTCTGGAGTCGGGTGAACCTACTTCAATTTACCAGTCGGGGAGAGCGAAAGGTGATGAAAAGGGCTCTGCACGACATGAAAAGAAACCTGACTAGTCTTCTGGCACGTCAGTTGTGTGTGCATCAGCCTCAACTGCAGGAGATGCTGACACAGACGACCACGAAACTAACGGAGCGCCGGGTGCGTGCCTGTCTGGCTCGATGGTTTATCACAGTGGGCATACAGGTTGCATTTTGTGGTCATCTGCATTTGTCAACCACACCTCTCGTAGAATTCCTGCTGTCTGCGTTGGTACCTTCACAGCAGTTTACGTCATCGACTGTGGCCAAGCTGCTCGTACCATTCAGTCATCGGTACAGGCTGCAGACTCGTCTGTACAATGCTCTGATCGTGGCCCCAACGGACGTGACTTTCCAGGCCCACCTCACCTCAATGGGTCCTTGCTTCGTCTGGGACGCGGCTTCTCTGTTGGGTCTTCTCACTCAAGATGACCTGCGAATCCTACTGGGGAATCCTGACGCGGTGCGAACCTGGCTGAGACATCAGCACCAGCTGCCGGAAACAGAGCGGCCGGCTGGCCTGCCCGCTGACCTGAGGTCACCGCGTGACCTCTGTGACCTGCTGCTCAACATCCCACTGCTGAGCCGGGCTCTCAGGGAGAGTGTACCGGACATGTGGGAGTACCATCAAAGATTCAGCACGAACGTGATGAAAAAGTACTCGACTTATGATTTGGAGTCATATGAAACATATCATGAAAGGTTTCTGAGCTGGGCCTTAAAGTGGAAGGACCAAGCGTTCAATTTCCACACCAAGCTCGGTATGGACCGTCAGACGG